AATGGCAAAGATGAGCCATAGAATCTCTACACAAAAATATAGAAAATTGTAGAAAATTCTTTAAGCAACATAAGTACAAAAAAAATTATACATTCAATCATTCTTTTATATACACTTAAATTGAAATCATTGATTCTAAAGCTTTGTCCAGCACACTCAAATTTTATATGACATGTTTGACATGTCTATATTTGGGTGTAATATGACATCATCACACTCTGGGTACATCACACAATTTTTTCACATAAAATTTGATGTATGGAAAGATCTTAACATTTATTTATAACTCAAAGTAGCAGTAAGTAGGAATTATCACTGGAGTTCTTAAAAAAATATATGCAACTTTTTGTACAGTAGAAATATTTCAACACACTTGTTTGTCAAATTTATTTTGATATCTAAATTTAAATTACAATTCTTAAATTGGAGATCATACTAATAGGTACTATAACACAAAAATGATAACAGATGGCCTGGTTTTACACTAACATGTTCAGCAAAAACGATGAGAGCCTTTGACTTGACCGCAAGATCATACACTAGTCCTGAATTCTGCAAAAAACCCTCAATGGGTCCCTCATTGCCAGTGTAGAAGAATATTGGGCCATTTTCTTTATCCCAATATGAATCTGGAATAAAAAATAGTTACAATATGGATCAAACGAATCAATTAAATAACCATATAATAATAATATAATAATTTAAAATGAAAATTATTATTAATTGGGTTAGGCCATACTGCTAGGCTGCAAAAGTGATGAGGGAGAGAGGCTTATTTTATTTATTTATTTATTTATTTATTTAAATTTTGCTAAAGCCAAGTATCTTTATAGGCCTAATACAATTTTTTTTTAATTTTCAGTTAGTTCCGTCTGGTTACTTGGGCTCGTGGAGTCATGACATCAAGTGACCGGTTGCCTCCTGGGCCCGCTCCTGGGTCCCCGCTATTTGATAAGCCTAGAAGACTATGTATACCATGTCTGTCTTGGTAATCTTTTACCAAGGAGGTATTAAAATTATTTAATACCTCCTTGCTTTTACTGACACACTTACCATTATACAGATATTTCTGCTTAAATGTCTGACTTCCATAGGAGGCAAAGTTGAAATGGTCGATAGTTTGATCAAAGTACTTAGTATTATACTTGTAAGCAAAACTTCTAGTAATATTATTAATTGCAAAAAAAGCAATAACTGATACAAAAACTCTCAGTTTCATATTTGCAATAAAGTGAGGTCTGCACTGCAACTAAACACCCTGCTCGTGTCAACAAAGAAGTCACCTGATTTATGCCGATAAGCATGTGATCAAGTCCCTATAAAACCTCATGTGAAACCGCCAACGCATAAAACGCCACCAACATGGTATAATGGTTCCCAGGACATGGGCCAATAAACGCAATCGCCCAATGGTAATAATATAGGCCTACTGACGGATAATAAAATAATCGCGTAGTTAAAGGGGAGAGGAAAGAGGAAACCTCCCTATGTTGACCCTCCTTGAAAAACTCATAAGTAAAGTTGTCAAAAATACTAAATAAGCAACACAAAATTACTTCTAGATAGAGTTTAAGGTGTTAGTAACTCTTGTCTTTCTGGGTTGTAATCTATTTCGTTACATTGCGCCAGTGGGTGAGGGGAAGGGAACCCACTCCCCGTCGGAAAGGCCTGGACCCCACCCCCGAAATAACGTTATTAAATTTGATTGCCAATATGTGGTCTAAAAGTGCTTAGCCTAAAAAAAACTCTTGCCATGAACCCTAACTGAGATTTTTTTTTTATTCCGAGACCCTGACCAATGCTCTTGTCTGCCGTTGATAAGGAGGAAAAAAAGTCTGTTGTGTTTCAGGACAAAAAAAAAACATATCTGACGAAAATCTCGAAGCGGAATGAGTTAAAGATTTTTTAATATTTAAAAACTGGGGGGAAAATAGGAGTAACCACCATTTTTCCGCCTTCCCCCAGTTTTCAAATATTCAAAAATATGTATCTCATTAACCGCTTGGGAGTTTTCCGTCAAATAGCCCCATGGTT